CTCTTGAACGCCGTGCTCATCTCTGGATCGTATTGGCAGCTCCAGATGGCCTTCAACAGGAGGGCTAACTGTTCCGTGATTTCTCCTTTTGTACCATATTTTTTAGAGTTCAATTTATTTCTCCTGGACAGGTCGACCTTGTACTGGTCCAGCACGAAATATTCCGCGAGTATGTCCGTATGCGATAAGCACTGCAATACAGCGTTCATAAAACACGTGTTACCGTGATTGCGTAAACCTATGACCCCTGGCACTCTGTCAGGCGGTATATGCGCCGGTCGAGGTGGAGGCACCCTTATGTCTCCAGCACTGGACCCGAGATCGTCCCTGTGAGACGTTTTATGATTCTGCGTGCCCACGTTCGACATGTGCTGGACCATCTTGTTGATAAATTTTTTCCAGGACGGTCTACGGAACACCTTCTTCATACCCGGTCTATCCGGATAGCTATGACTGCCGTGCAATCGGCCTATATTTTGCTGTATGCTCTCTACTTGCTGCTGATGTTGCTGCATATTGTTTCTGTCTTTGGTGCTCGCTGCACTGCCACCGTCTTTCGGGTCACGATTCTGTTTCGGACGACGTCTTAACATTCTGCTGGCACTTTGAAACGGATTCCGCGGTAATGTAAACGTACGTTTTAAACGCGAGGCGGAATCCCGTGTTTTTGGTTCTGATAATTTAACCTCTTCCACGCCCAGCTCACCCTCCGACATCGATTTCATCACCGCACTAACATTCTCACCGTCCATCGCCGGCCACGGAAACACCGTTCAAGCTTCCGCTTGTCGTTCACATTACGCTTCTCGTCAACCGATCGACTCACACGTCTTTTACATGCCGTACGTCAGAAACTGATCGCGGAAAAACATCATACGCGTAACCCGCTCTCGTACACTACGGCGGCCATTTGCCTTTATCACAGGCTTCCACGATTTCATGACGCTTCTATCATAGACTACGCAAAATGGCTGACGGCAGGTACGTTGTGCCTGCGATCGACGCGTACTCTGCGGAACTTGACCAATACTATAACTTGTAGCTATAGTAGAACATTTACTTACCGACGACAAATATCATTACAAATGCACGGACAAAATATAAAGCAAACGTGTTATCAGTAATAAAATACTGGCAATAATGAAATAAATAAAAATACATATGATATAACACAAATATATAATTTGATACATTTTTTTTCATGTTTCGACGACCCTAGTGCTTTCTTACCATTTCAGTGTCACTTCCAACGTTACCATCTTAGTAATCTTTGATCTTATATTACGAAACTATATTATAACACTGTTATTATAACATTATAGAATTGCTATATCATTGATAATATCTTATAAAACGAAAATAAACGCCAAACTTACAAAAGGAAATACGATGCAATATATTACAATTTAATACTCTATCTTCGTAATACTTCGAAGGATTTAAAAAATTCAATTCCATCGTAAAAATATGAAAAACATGGGCAATTAAAAATTCAAAACAAAATCCAAATTGCGTCCAAAAGAAATAAATTCGCGATTACTCGAAAGGACGATTGGTCGATGTACTCATTAGCCTACAAACTCATGTATACAAGATAACTCTGTCCTTCAGTACCGATGGGTCTTTGCCCAAATTAGGTCCCGACCTTGACACGTCTTATACCGATATGAAGGTAATTCACCTAATCAATGGTACTGGATAATTCCACGGGTTTTAACGAGATTTAGTAGCTGAATAATGCCTGATGGCAGGCACATTATGCAAGTTCGCATTATAAGACACATTCCCTGTTGTACGCAACAGGTATACAGGACAACTAGGGTTGCAAATCCTTGCCTTGGCACTGATTTTACCATCAGCCAGACGACACTGACAAACTCGTTGCATGTCTGATCGTGAGGCAGACAATGACTCGAAATAGTTTTGGATCTGATTCAAGAGAGTGATTAACGACAGAGATCTATTTACTTTATCAACTTTGACAAATAGATTGAATATAATTCCTAAATTCACTGCTACATACCATAGAGGGCATAACATAACAGCTGATTTTTTTACACGATCGGTATTTCAGAACATGGGTCACGAAATTCCGTAAGGTGACAAATCTATCCTATACTTTATCTGTGGTTCTGTTGTTTATAATTTAGAATAATGATCTTGGAAGTTATACTCAACTTAATTATTTGTAATTGATGAAAAAAGTATAAATAAATACCCATTTATTAATTAATCCACAAAAATAAAGATGTCGCATCTTTTCAATTACATTATTTTTGTAAGTGCAATTGACACAGTTCTAAATAAGCAATAAATATGTTATATCGCAGTTATACTGAGCTGTGAAATGAAGAATAGTCAATATTTTGAGTAAAATTAAAGAAATTACATACCAAAATTTAATTTTTTCTTGTACAAATTGACATTTTTATTTGTTCCAGTAGAATTAACATTAAACTCATCACAACCCGTCAAATTGATCGATGGATCAGAGAATTGACTAAGAATTATTAGATATAAATGAAAAATTGGGTATACTTATATTAAATAACAAATTACATAAGCAAGTGACTAAAGTGGTTACATTGAATGCGAATTTTAAACCAAAGTTTGAAAATAGTTATTTAAATCCTGGTAGACTTGGTAGAGGTATGCAACCTGTTATAAGTGTGCTATAAGTAATACCTAAACGAGTATTATCTGAAACATACTGCAGAATAACAATATATCATAATAAATCTGAAATCTGAAATTTCAAAAAATGATCAAAAGTCAACAAGAATATTTTAACATCGACCTGTTGAAAAATAATATTATGACAATGAAATTCTTTCATTATTAAATATTTAATAATGAAAAATTAAATATTTAAAAATTAAATATTTAATAATTTCCGTTTAGATAATTTCGCGAGTGAAATATGCAGATTTCAATGCGTTGACCCTTTTCCCGTCGTGTATGAAATTTCATAGAATGCTGATTCGCGAATTGCAAATACTTCGACTTCTGCTGACTGGCTGAGAGGAGCGATACGATCCGAATTCGACGAACGATCCGCAAAATCCAAATGCCTCGGGCGTATCGATTTTCGCCATGATCGTTTCTCGTTACACCGCCTTTACGTTTTACGTCGCGTTACTTTCATCCTGCGTATTTGTTTGCATTCCGCGAATAACTACCTGCTGGCAGTTTGCAGCCGTGGATCTACCGGATGACGTGTTTATCAGGAAATTCGCTATCTGGCGTGGTCGTGCCTTTTTGGCCATTCCAAGGTACCCTTATTTAGATTTACGCTATTTACATTATTCATATTTACGATTATCCTAACTACCACGTATAGTTGTTAACGTTGTTCTATATATTTTATACACGACCAAGTGGCCAGGCAAATAATGTCATTTTCGCAAATTTAGTCGCGTTTGAAAAAGTGACATTTATTTATTTGGTTACCCAGTATTGTGCATAGCTGTTGTAATACAGCTTTTGGTTGTGCTATAATAAATTATACGAGTTAAATTAAATTATTTAACAACGTGAGAAAGGAGTATCCTAACTATTATGTATAGTTGTTAACGTTGTTCTATATATTTTATACACGACCAAGTGGCCAGGCAAATAATGTCATTTTCGCAAATTTAGTCGCGTTTGAAAAAGTGACATTTATTTATTTGGTTACCCAGTATTGTGCATACATGTTGTAATACAGCTTATGGTTGTACTGTAATAAGTTATACGAATTAAATTAACCCTTTGCACTCGAGAGGTGAGCTTCAGTCACCATTTCATAAAATTTGGAAGATCGATATTAATTAATATATCAAATTTAATGTAACGTAACAGTGTGCGAGGTATCGAAGTCAAATAATTCTATAATTCTATTATTATACAATTTTTTATTTACTGTTCAAAAAAGAATCTTTGAATTTTGACTCTTCTATAGCCAAAAAATCGTCGAGTGCAAAGGGTTAAATTATTTGACAACGTGAGAAAGGAGCAAGAAAATTTTGTTATTATTAAGATGGCAGAAAAATGGCATTGTGAACAACGGAGTGACGGTGTACGAAGCGATCTGGCCCGAGTCTAGCTTTTTGTCAGTCAGGATCAGCAAAGTATCCTCGATCGATCTGCATAATAAACTTATAAACGATGGATGTCGTCGATCAGTCATGGACCTACATGTCGACGTCCGTGGACGTTTATGGCTGCTGGATGTTCCTGAAAATTTGGGTTGTCCGGCTAGAGTCATTGTTCATAACTTGAAACGAAATAACCAACTGGTAAAACGTGTATTTTCTATATACACAGGGTGTCCTAAAAAAACGTATACACACTTTAATACCTTATTCTTTCTAATTTATTTGCACTCTTAATCTATAATTCATCTATATATATACTGTCTTTATAATCACGCAAAGTGTGTATACATTTTATTGGGACACCCTATATATATATATATATATTATGACGATCACTAGCATTCGTGAATACTAACTCATTATGTTATTACATATAAGGTAGATATTTATTCAGATGCATGGGATATAATAATTTAAAGAGAAACCTCGTCTCTTGATATTTTTGAATTAATTACTTACAGTCTTAATTAACAGTAATTACTACAGTAATTACTTACGTCTCTGACGTCAGTGATTTAACCAACGTTTTAATAATTTGAATAATTAATAAATTTAATAATCCTTGTTTTACACTTAAAATACTTAATTAATATTAAATGCATTATATAAATGTTAAAAAGTAAATATTTATCCAGACGTGAAGCATACGATAATTTAAAGAAAGTGTTTGTTTTTAAATATGAATTTTTTGATTAATTTTTTAAAGGCTTTCCACGATCATTCTTTTAATTATAATTAAAATATCGCGTTATTATTACAGTCAATATTTTTAAATATTAATTTTAAATATCACGATGTTATTCAGATACGTGATATATGATAATACATATGATAATACGAAAAGAATATTCGTTTCGCAATAGGTCTTGCTTAATTTTTTAAAGTTTGTTCATTTCTTCGCGTTTAAATATTTCGATATTAATTAAAAATATTTAAAGGTGTCGTCTACTGATTTAACCAACGTTCCAACGCAAAACTTAAGAGCTCTCGTCGTTGATTATTCGGGTAATAAGGGGTATATAGGAGATCCTGGTGACGAATCAATTATTGCATACATTCCAGGTGAATATATAGAATAAAACAATAAACTCCTGAAGGAAAATGAGATTTTATGTATGTGGACTTGGTTTCAGAGGAAGAAAAATGGTGGAGGATAAAGATGATTCATGGACCGGAAGTACCTCGTGTTTTCAGCACCGACCTCGCCATTTCCTGGAAAAATTCGACACTTTACTTGACTGGCTCCAATACTCTTAATCTGTTTAGCATAAATTTGGAAGAAGCGTGGAACGATCGAAATTCTTCAACTTATAATGATGTATGTAGAAATTGCACATTTTTATTTTTAATGCAACTCCTTAAGGATTAAGGATCCAAAATCTACGAAATTTTCATCAATTCAGTGATTGAATCTATAAAAATTATATTTTAGAAATAATATAATATAAATTATATTATATTTTTAAATTATACTTTAGAATATTCGCTGTTTTACATAAACTTAGTGTTAAAATGTGTATATCCATTGCTAGTAATTATTAGATTAATAGGAGGAACTATTTTTAGTTTCAAATTAATATCAGAATTATCAACATATAATCTGGAATATAGTATATATAGATAATAATTATGGAAGTATTATAAAAATAATTAGGTACATATTACATTTCTATCTCAATAGGAATATAAACTCAAAACATAGTATATATAGATAATAATTATTGATGTATTATAAAAATAATTAGTTACAGACATATTATTACATTTCTATCTCAATAGAAACATAAACTCAAAGTGTGCTATACATAGATAATAATTATGGAAGTATTATAAAAATAATTAGGTACATATTATTACATTTTCATGTCAATAGGAACATAAACCCAAAACATAGTATATATAGATAATAATTATTGATGTATTATAAAAATAATTAGTTACAGACATATTATTACATTTCTATCTCAATAGAAACATAAACTCAAAGTGTACTATACATAGATAATAATTATGGAAGTATTATAAAAATAATTAGGTACATATTATTACATTTCCATGTCAATAGGAACATAAACTCAAAGCATACTATAGATAGATAATAATTATGGAAGTATTATAAAAATAATTAGGTACATATTATTACATTTCCATGTCAATAGAAGCCACCATGAATTTTACCAAAATCAATCGTCTATTCTCATCACTTGGCAGATCAAAAAACCAGTTATTTTGACTGATCTGTCAATTTTACTGTCAACTTTGATAACTTATATTTCGCAAATTTGTATTTCGTTCAAGAAATGGCGAAACGCGACGATTGTTTGGCACGGAACCAAAATGGGCACGTCCTCGGGGCTTTTCTGCGACGTCGAGGATGGTCTCCACTATTTCATGTCCTTGGAGAGAGCCAGCGTCCGATGGGACACGAAACTTCCTTTAAAGGTAATTTCTTTCCCAAGCACGAAAGGAACGTGCTTCATCGAAAATCGATATTCCCGGAAAACATGTCCTCTTGTTTTATTTCCAGGCTGAAAGTCACTCGGTGCTGGTGCAGAATCAGAATTGCCCTTGTATAAGCGACTACGCTATGGACGGACAGAAGATTCTGTGGGGTCTGATTAATTCACGGTGTCCAAACACGATTGTCGATTCTTCCACGAAAGTGACCGTGAAATCCCGAACCACGAGAATTGGAAAATACTCGGCTTCCCGAAGATAATTCGAAACTTACATTGGCCTTGTCATTAGTCAATGATAGCCATAATGATAGCCATAATGGAAAATAAAGATTAGATCTTAACGCGATAATTTCTTCCAATTCTAAATTGTTCATAAACGAGTTTGCATTAAACTGCATCGCATTGAGATTCCAGAAAGATTATTTATTGGACCCTGAAAATTTAACAGAGAATGTCAGTTGTAAGCTGTTGTGATAAGACTGGCACTCAATTTTGGATTTTTCTCTCATGTATGATAATCATCCTGTCAATAATTGAATTTTTCTATCGAGCAGGCAGCTATTCACCATTAACACTAGGTTTACGGATGCTATCTGTATATCTATTTCTAAGGACACCTGTCAAATTGACAGGTAAAGGAAACCACGTGCCTTTTTTTTAACGATTAGTTTAATTTAAAAACAATTATATATTATATTGACAGTCTTAATATAAGTTAACTAAATCCGTTACCATCGTATAATTTCAGCAACCCTTCCGTTAAACTGACAAGTTCCGTAAATCTAGTATTAAGGAAATGTGTAATCCGTATCGCACTTGGGTCCCCAATGAGCTACCTGAATTTTCCAATTCTGGCCCACGATCGTAAAGACATAAACCAGGCCCCCATTTACAGGACCTCTTTCTTCTTCGTCCGTAGCGATGCATCCCTCCAGATCTATGAGAAAATTTTGTTTCGTGTAAAATATTAGAAATCCCATTAACTTGTTGCAATTAACCAGTTAAACAGTTAACTCGTTACACTAGAACCACGAATTTGTAATTTTTGCATAAATACAGTGTAGATAAAAGATATTAAAGTAATATTGATTAGCTAATGGAATAATAATATTAATCAATTTAATGGAAATAAATAGGTATAGATAATTATACCGCTATCCGAAGAAGGATCAATATTAATTTTGTCAAAAGTAGCTGTATTTTCCAATAATTCCGAAAATGGGAAATCTCGAAGAAATTTTGTCAGCCTTCGTAGTTCCAGTGTTAATACCTGTTAATTCGTAGAATAAGCTCGATGAAACGATCTTAATCATCCGACCAACGTGGCAAGTAATTACGGTAATCCATCCTGACGACGAGATTGTAAAATGATCGAACAAGTGGCTAGGTTTAATCGAGGAGACACTCCTTGTCGAACTTCGTTACGTCATATCGACGTGGAAAATTCACGAGACTTGTAGAATACGATAAAAGTCCTGCTAGTCGTTAGATAACGATCGTCGAAGATTGATGGTTACGTAACGATCGAGAGAAACTCCGATATTGGACGCTAATTCGCGATAACTAATTTTTATCGGTCATCGTAAGATCTACCGATATAGAAGTTAGAGTGATTGTTTAAGTATTCGTTAATGGAGCGATTAACGATTCGATTTTATCTGGTTCTGATTTCTCGTGCACATTTTACGCTTTACGGTACGTCGGGTGAGATTCGTCGTTAAATTTCACTCGCACCTTAATTACGCGGAGTTAATGGCAAGGTTGAACGTGACAGAGTAATGGAAAGGACAATAACACGTTTCGTAAGTCGAGATTTCGCTGATAAACACACCACGGTTAGATCGGGGACAGGTTTATTCGTTTACACGAGTGGTACCGTTTCTTCACGCTAGAGCGCGCTTCGGTCCGGTCCGCCATCTTGAAAATGGTCGTCGGAGCGTTTTATTTCGACATTGGTTGATATTTGTCCAGTTTCGACGTCTCTCGAGTCAAAGGCGAATCCAGGATACATTTTTAGAGAGACGTGCAGAGATACGTGCACTTTTCTTTACATATATTACGTATCAATTATAAAACTCGCCTGAAATTTGTGTTCTAACCCCTTGTGATACGATCTAATTGTAGGAAATCGTATATCGAAAAAGTATTTAATTTTAATTAGCATCTATACCTTCATCATCGATATACTATGTCCATTCAAAATTGTAATTGCCATAATAACAAATTTTGGCTATAATAAAAGATTATTTCAATTTCGTACAAGTTAGATCGCTTTAAGTATAATTCTAGGCACATGACAAGCGTAAATTAAATCATAATTGTACTATTTGGTATAAAATACTCATGAGTTGGACTGCTCATTATGGCACAAGGGGTTGATGTATCTCACCAATACTACAACTCCAATGATTAAATTCACATGAATGATTTTCACTTCACAATGATTATAAAAGATCCCAATAATCATGACACCTGTAATTAAATTATTCCTTCAGGGATTAGATTGTCTTCGTCGTCTCTTCAAAAATGGATCCGCCATTGTTTCGGGGGAAAATTAGGTTTGTACAGGATGCTCGAGGATGAGCTTTTCGTGACTAGATTAACCTTTCGAGTGTTACCAGTAGCCTTTTGTAATCATTTTCTTGGTCGTTTCTGCGCCAAAATTTTGGACATTGTTGAAAATTTGTTCATGCGACTTTCTAAACGGTGTCAGGACATTTGCAGCGAGGTTGGAGCAGGTTTCGAAGCAACACTCGAAAGGCTAACGTTGTTGTTTAAAGATGCATCACGCAGGATTGCTTCGGTTCCTGTGCACTGCTTCCGGTTTTGCATACTAATCGGCGCATGAGTTCACTAGAGGATGGACTGCCACGGACGCTCCTGTGCAGCTGACAGCATTGTCGATATAGTCTTGGAAATTACTCTCGATCACCCACATCAGGCCCTTGTAACCGGGAATGACTGCTGTCGGCAGTCGACACTCGCCAGGTTTTTCGACCAACAGGAAGTTGTCTTGGGTGAAAGAAGTGTCCGTGTTCCACATGTAAATACTGGAGTCGCCTAAGGACACAATGAGATCAAAGATAAACGCGAGTTCTGAAAATTAACGAGTCAAATCGTGGTTCTGGATCATTTTCTTAATACATTTTCTGAAATTCTAGTCTATCTTATGTTTTCTTAACACTAGATTCACAGAACCTGTCAATTTGTTACGATGGTAACAAATTTAGTTCATTTATATTAAGACTGTTAATATTGTAATTGTTTTTAAATTAAACTAGTCGTAAAAGGAAAACACGTGGTTTCCTTTACCTGCAAATTTGACAGGTGTCAAATATGTAGAAATAGGTATACAGATAGCGTCCGTAAACCTAGTGTTAATTAGGTTAGAATAATTGGTTATTATAGTAACGTGAGTAACCTCAGCGACTGAAATATTTGTATCGAAAATGACTGCTGTCAATTTAATTGATTTTTATAAATAATAATATTTGTATAATATAATTTTCTTTCATTCTACAATTTAGAGAAAATTATACACCTTATAATTACCTTACTTCTAATTATTAGAATGCACTATAAACTCAAAACATTGCCAAGAGTCATTTTTGTTAGATGATAAATTGTCACTTTGATTACTGATGAATATATGAAAAGTTAATATAAATTTACCTTTAATTCTGAAGAAGATGGCGGCAGCATTGTCAGTACCCAGAAGCACGATCTTGTTCTTCTTCGTACCGATGTCCACTATGGATCCATTCGCGTTGCCAGATCTCAAATTTACCGCCTTGATCGCGAACATTCTGCTGGAGCCTAGGTAGGTGAAGTAGAGGACCGTGGATCCGCAGCTTTTCCTTCTGACGAGAGCTAAGTACAGGGCATCGGGCTTGTCAGTCCTGGGTGCTACAGCTGTCGGCAGAACCACGCGATACCCGCTGCCAGTGGTGACGTTGTAGACGATTATGGCACCGGTACCAGCGTCGGAGATGTACACGTAGACTTGGCCATCTTCTGCGTAGTCGACGGCCATATACTGGAGTCTCGAATTCGAGTCTACTAACGTGCTTAGGTCGATCACTTTTACAACCTGGAATTGAGAATATTTGCTTCATCCATCATTCTTTTCTTTCGCTCCTAGAATCTGGAATTGAAAAACTTGCGTTCTTCGTGTCTTTTCTTTTTACTACGGATTATTGATAATTATTAATTATGATTGACTCACTCATTTGGCAAAACTTGTTTTCAGTGTTCACTCAGTGTTCACTTATTTGTCAGAATATCTGCTTTATACGTGGTTTTTTCTTCTTCCCTTTTATTTTATTATAATTGGAACACTCTGTCAAATCGATTAACTCCACGAAAAAGACGAGATGGAAATTTATTTTAAATATCGAATGTTAAGGATCAATGCAGTACTCTGGTATTATAAATTTAAAAGGGATTCTAAAAGTGGAGTCAACCACTTTGCTTCTGAATGAGTCAATTATAGGTAATTATTTGCGGAGATATATCTACGTACTTTCCTTTTTAAAAATTTAAGTTAGGATTATGATTGGTTGGAGAAAGAGCAGATCTAGTTAATTTTCAGCTGTATAATACAAATTAGCTCTATAAAATAAATTAGACTCTAAATCTTATCTATATCTATATCTATATCTTTATATCCTTGATGATTCTTATTAGACATCTATGATTGACATAATTTGTGCTATTCCTGATCCCCCAATTTTCAATTTAAATTCTACAGCGAGCAAACTTAACAAAGAACCTAAAGAGGTGTGAAAGGAATTTTTGAAGCTTTACTTAGACAGCAAATTAGCTCAAGGAACAGTTATTCTGCCTACTAATAAACGTCTAAAAGAAAAGGAAATTTACCTCTCTTTTCAACCAAGTCTCGTTTTACCCAAGCCTAATTAGCAGAATTATCCCTGTCTCTCCATCATCTCACAATAAACTGAAACCCTATCTGCAGATATCCTCAGGGCCAATTCTACTCTCGCGTAATCTCTAACCCAGATCAGCGACCAAAGCTGCAACTCACCTTTCCAGTTCTAGCGCTGACTCCGACGACCTTAGGAGGACATCTGCGTACAGGTTGCTCAAGGGTGTTGACGATTCCGACATCGAGGACCCAGAGGATGTCCTGCATGTCCAAGACTATGTCAACGGCGCTCTGCAGAGCCTGACAGTTTCCTTCCTCCTGGATAGCCCAGCAGGGGAACGGGGCGACCTTTGGCTCGCAGCTCTGCGACTTCAACGAGAGGATACCCAGAGTGAAAGGGACACCTGGTTTATAGCGTGGCAGAGCCAAGATCGCTTGGTCCTTGTATATCTGGGCCCTGGTGGCTATCACGTTTCTAGCGATATATCGACCACTGGTCTCGTATATGTTCTTGGTGCTTTGGCAAGGCCAATCTAGGCTAAGTCCTGAGAGAACCAACGGTGCAGGTAGCGTCGGGTGGCCATTGCCGAGTGGTAAAACGTTAATTAGGGTTGTCGCGTAGACGAAGATGTAGAGGAGCCAGTCCATCACGTTGGTGGTCCTAGAGAATTGTTTGGAGCAACTGAAAAGGAGAAACGAGTCGGATAGAGAACTCTTCTGACGAAAGGTGTCCAATTAACACGTTAAGTGCCCAGTCCGTTTTACTTGCCGGCAAGTGGGCCACCGATGTAGCTGAAAACTCGGAAATACTGTACCAATTGTTACAACAGGAATTTCCAAACGTTAGATCCAAAGATGACGAAGAATTTAACACCAAAATTTAGCACCTTTTAGGTCCTAGTTTGGGCCGGTTCCTGAGAACAGGCTGGGCTCGAACGGAAAGTCTAGCGTCAGTCCCTGGGGATTAGCGTGGCACTTAACGTGTTAAGGATGACTTACTCGATTGTATGATCGATGATATGACGTGAACGTTGGAATGTGAGAGTCTCGTGTCCAACTGTACGTTTATATACAAATGTGGTTGGTAGGATTCCATCGGTGATCAATGGTGCACGCTTTGTATATTTATAATGTAACGCGTTCTTCCGGCTGTCGCAACGCTTCCGCCCGGACAAGACTGCACGAACTCTTGAGAGCAACAAGGAAGCGTATTCTCGGCGCTGTTTACTAAACAGTAGAGCAACGAAGGCAGCGAGTGAGATGAACTCATTTCCTTTCTTCGTTTAATGTCTTTTGTAAATAAATTAATGACACCGGTGCACAATTTTGTGAGGGACTATACGTGACGAATGTGATATTTAAGGTGTATACAGGATGTTTAAAAGATAGGATCAGGGGCTCCTAGGGATTACGATTGTCACGAGGAATGTCATTTTTGCTACTTTATCTTTCTATATTAAAATTCTATTAACCAATCAGCTGTGTTGACGACTATACCCGTCATTGCTTGATTCTCGCGATACATATAGGTGCGCGCTCTGAAAAGAGGTCGCCACAGTCGACTGGTTAAATTGTATTATGTAGGAAATTTTAGTGAAGAGACATTTAGCTGATAGGTAAATGTTATATTTTGGTTCGTAGGCCAATGTATCCCTCAAAAACGCATCCCTCAGTATTTTATAGGGCGTGTCCCCTCTTCATGGCCTTGTCTTCATGTGTTGATAGTCCTCGTTGCTCGAATTCTGAACTCTGCCCCAGCTTGGCATCTAAGCATCCCCATCTGTGGCCATTGTCCTTGGACCTAGACAGTGTCTTCCTAGAATTTCAACAAAGGGCTTTCTTCCGCCCTGGGACAATGAGCAGCGATGAATGTTGCCCACAATTAATATCATAATTGTAACTGTAAAATATTGTTAAAAAATTCGATCTTTTGTGAGCGAATGTTCCAAGATTGACTTGAAATCCAAGTGACGCTAAGAGTCAGAATGCGGAACAGTCAAACGTTCCTCCAAAACACTAAATAACTCTTCCTGTATTTCGCAACACGTTGATCATGTCACCTCGTATATAACTGGCGTAATCTTAAAGATTGTTCAGTCCAGCTGGGTTTCATTGACAACGATTTCACGAGCAATACTATGCACACGAAGGGACAGTCTGTTTCGATAGTCGCGATGGCCATCGTGGTGTTTGTCCTCGTATTCGCGAACAGTGCGAACGCGATTTTGCCAGAAACCGTGAAGTGGTCAGGTGGAAACTTCGAGTGGCCATGTTCTACTACGAAGAACATGTTCAAAAGCAGTGGACGATATATATCGAAGAACGTGATCGCCACTAGGGTCGCGATGTACCATGACGACGCCATTGTGGCTCTCCCAAGGTACCATTAAACATTTATTAAATTAAAATGTTAATAAAGTGTCCAGTTGAAGTTCCAGGTCAAGTAAACTTGGAAATCGTATTTTGTAAATTTACAATAATTGATATAAATTATGCTCCATGGCTTTGTTATAATTACATTTCTTTTGTGGAGCAGTAATAATCGCAAAATGGTCATTTTTATGGCTCATGTAGTAAATATGTCATATTACGTCCAAGTACATTTCAATTCAAATCGTATTTTTTAAGGAGATAATAATCTCTATTTTGTTTTATGGCTCTCCAATAATTAAATATTTTAACAAACTATTATTATTGTAAAATGGTAATTTTTATGGTTTGTGTAGTAAATATGTCATATTACGTTTAAGTAGATTTTAAAATCGTATTTTTTGAAATAATGATCTCTGTTTTGTTTTATGGCTCTCTAATAATGAAATATTTTAACAAACTATTATTATTGTTATTATAAAATGGTAATTTTTATAGTTCATGTAAAAGATATATCATTATATTACGTCCACGTGGATTTTAAAACCTTCTCAAATGCATAGTAATAGGATTTTGAATTTTATTTTACATTCTCATGACAATTAAACATTTCGTCAAGCAACAGCAATAGAAAAATGGTAATTCGTGGAAATTATCCAAATACAAATCAAGTACTCCTCGATTTAACCTGAGTCCTACTTTAAAATCTTATTTTTCGAATGAATAACAATCTCTTCGAATTTTACTAACTTAGGTAATCTGTGATACTGTCCAAATGAAAACCAAGTATAGTACTCACTTTTAAATTCATGTAAAAATATCGAATCCAACCAGACCTCACAGTCACACCCTCAGAACAGATATTAACCACTCTCTCTTTTATTTGATCAGTATACACCTTTCTATAACAATGACAGTGACTGTTATAAAAATAAAAATGAGACTTGTTCATTTCGTACAAACTGGTTTTCAACATAGGTTCAAGGCTGGTGTTCCAGCGACACTGGCGAAGATTTCTCAGGAGAACCGGAGCTGCGAGGCCGAGCTGATCCCGTATCCATGCTGGTCTCTTCAAGAAGAGGGTACTTGCACAGCTCTGCAAAACGTGGTGGACATTTACCTGGACCCTCAGAACATTCTCTGGGTGCTCGACACTGGAGTGGTGAACACCTTGGACGAACCTGTGCGCAAGTGTCCACCGAAGGTCCTCGCCATCAACGTCAGCACCGGAAAGGTAAGTGCCATTTTCTTCTCCATCGTGACTCATATTACATTCATTTACATGGTGTCATTTTGCCTACTTTGCATTCTTCTTTATATATCCAACGAGAATTAAAACGAAATTAATAACATTTGGTGACGACACTGAATAAACTATTACCATTACGAGAGATCAATATTTGGTAGAAACTGGTAGAAATGTAATTTGGTAGAAAAATTAGCAACTTTTCACGTTTTCCTAAAATAATCTAGAGCAGTGGTTGTCAACTGGTTGTAGATTGAATATTCTATCAATTGATATATAAGCGAGCTGAATTAAATTCTATACAATTTTGTAATTATTTAGAGTATATTAGTATAGATTATTAGTAGATAAATTATATTAGTATATTAGTAGATAAATAGTACCGAGTTTTTATACTAAGCTTTTTGCTTCTTGTCACAAAGCAATGTTCCTATCGTATTATACAGGGTGTCCCAACATCGGTAGTACAATCGAGACCCTTATAAGGAGTGATTCTACATGCAGAAAGGAATTAAAAAAAAAAAGAATAAAATTTTTTGATTGGAAGCTTAGTTGTCGAGAAAATTGGCTTTGAATATTGATCGAGTATGCGTGCACTTAACTATGGCTAAGGCGGATGGGACCACCAATAAATGGGAATATTCGATGGATATTTATAGTCGATTTTCTCCACACCGAAATTTCAAATGAGGAAATTTTATTGTCTTTTTCGATTCGTTTCTGCATGTAGAATCCTTTCCCGGTTGTACTACCGTTTCTGGGACACCCTGTATATAACGACACGCTAATTGGAATTCTGCAGCTATTCTGATGAAAAAGAAAATTTTTTTATGCCAAAGAAAATAACCACTGAGTATATTGGAAATGTCTATATCAATATTTACAAAAATTTATCTAGTGTAAATTATGACGAATAGATATTATCTAGAAAGTGGTCCGACGCTCGATTGCATATTAGGTGTTGGTATTATATATAAGAAAATCACATCATGTATGTAAATCATTGATGTGGAATGCACGTTTCGAGGAATTATACTCTATTTTTTTCCAAAACCAGAATAAATGTCAAATAAGAACAGGAATAAACGGTAAGAAGTGTCTGTAATTAATATGCATATATAATAGTGGAATCACGCGATACTGGGGAACAATTGCGTGCAATGAGTTAAGATAAAAGCTTCTATTTTCAATGAAAGATAAGCAGTGATACGTATATCACGATTGCTTCGTATGAGAATCCATTGTGGTTGGGAAATAATAATAAATTAGTAACAATAAATTTACAATAATTAATAAATTGTAATTTAATAATTAATAATATCTATTTATTAACAATTTTAATATATAATATAATATCCCTTTTTTATTAATTATTTTTTATTTACATTATTTATTTATTTTATTAATTATTATTATTTATTATAGTAAATTATTCCAAATATTTGAACAGTATCTGGCATATAATCTATAAGGCGACCAAAGGGTTAATAAGCAATCAATGACGACCACAAAGTAGGTCGGACATTAGACAAGAGCTCACGTCCAATAATTGACGAAGAAAAATTTTTTCCTTATCCTTTTACCTGGCATGCATAAAACATTCTTATGCCCACCGGTCGAGCAGATGTGAATGAACCTATTATCCGTATCATTCAAGAAACTTCGAAGCAGTCATACATTAATAGCGTTGCGTTATCATTCGAGGAAAATGATAGGTTCGAATTTTAAAAACGAGAACCCTGAGTTTATCGAGCGACGTAAATCATTGATTATCCGAACGCCGACACGTCCAGCTCGTGTCGTTGTTTCAACGAGGTCGGAATACTGTCACGATCGCCTAAGTTTTGTAATAGTTATCCTTTCCACTGTTCCACGCTCCGGAGGAACTAATGGACCCTGCGTTCACGTTTCAATCACGACTCAAGGCGTTGAGTCGCGATCATTCTTTGATTCCTATTAGCTGGGCAGTCACGTTTCGTTTGCAATGGTCATTATGTAACGCGAGAGGATATTAGAAACATAGGTGGACATTTTTAATTCCATTCGATCGAGATTAACGTTGTCGTGAAAGTGGATAAGGTGTAGATGATGGAGAGTAGCTTGGTAATTTGATTTTGTTGAGGTTAAAGGGGAAGTAGTTGACTGAGGTAATGGAAGCAGGCATGGTCGTTAATGTAGATGCAACAGTTGCGACATGACGTCAGTCATTCAGACGATATAGTAAACAGAAACAGTGGGTAAAGGAACATCAGTTGGACAAAAGAGGTCAAGCTGTCTGCGTCCTTCACCTAGATAGACATAACCTTACAATGAAGTTATTAGTCACGAAGTATACCTCAACAGTATTAATTTATTCTAACGTTTGATGATAATCGAATCGTTATTTCTACATGGAGAAATTCTTCGTGTATCTTTGATTAATTCTTAACGATTTTATTTCGATTTGGTCTTTGTTGGTTTTGATATGCGAAACATAACCTCTCCCGTTGCATGGAGCATACCTCAGCGGTATTAATTTATTCTAACCTTCGATGATAATCGAATCTTTATTTCTACGTGGAGAAATTCTACGTGTGTCTTTGATTAATTCTTAACGATTTCATTTCGATTTGATCTTTATTGATTTTGGTAGGCGAAACATAACCTCTCCTGTTGCATGGAACATACCTCAGCGGTATTAATTTATTCTAACCTTCGATGATAATCGAATCTTTATTTCTACATGGAGAAATTCTTCGTGTATCTATATTTAATTCTTAACAATTTTATTTCGATTAAAATTCGATGCTTTAATTGAGTCAATGAACTAAAGGATTTGCACTCTCTTTGTAAGTAGTCACGGTGCGAACCCTAGCTGCTCTTTTGCCTCAATAGGATTATAAATTGTAAAGAAAACTGCAACGCAACGTCTCATAGCCCTTTTCCTCGTGTCACTCTCTATGTCTTCGATACATACACGAATCCTGTATAAGTAGCACATTTGATATTCGAACTCCAACAAGTCGCATTAAATCTACCTACATCATGCAACAAGCTCAAACACCAATACCCAATATCCCTGTGAATAGCAACACTCACCCTCATCCTCGTTTCTCTCGCAGCTGGTAAAGACAGTGGAGCTGACCGGGCTAACTACTTCAACGTCACGCCTGCAATACCTGGTGTCCGACTACAGCCGAGACGGGAGAGTGTTCGTCTACGTGTCAGACGCTGCCTCAAGGGCCATCCTCGTCTACGATGTCACTTTGGGTCGAGGTTACCGCGTCGTTTTGCCACAGGCCGTCGCCATGGGCTGCACGCGAAGAGACGTTTTGTACCTCGCCCTTCTCCGGCGTTCAGACGGAAGCACCTGCTTGATCTTCACCTATTTGAGCAGCAGCCGTATGTTCTCCATAAGAACCGAGCATCTCCGCAGTGGCTCCGCGAATGGCAAGATCCACGACCTTGGTATGAAGCCGAAGAAGATGATCCTCTTGGGTACCGACAATGGCAGCGCCCTCTTCTTCCGCTACGAGGGCGAGTCAGACGTCTACAGATGGGACGCCACCAATTCTTTCGACCCGAAATGCTTCAACCAGGTCTACACCAGCGCCGAATGTTCCCTGGTTACGCATATCGTCGCTGATTACCAACGAGGCAGGATGAGAGTGCTCGAGTCCAACTTCCCGGATTACATGCAAGGCACCGTTGGCTGCGGTGCCACGCAAGCGCTGACCGTCATGTGATGTTTATAGGTTAGGATTTAGAATAAATTGAATTAAAACGAAATTCTCTCCTCCTTGTCTTTATCTTTTATTCGTGTTTACGTTTTTACTTGGATTTAGCGATTGACGAGGGACATATCACAGTGTCCATCACCAATTTTGACGAAACTTTGCGTTATTATGGTGGCAAATAGTCCCAAAAGTAGTCCCAAATACAATCTCACAATCAGAGGATCACAAATTTTAGATCTTAAGATTGCCAATGTTTGAATTATCGTGAGTGTGTTAAAAAATATCGTATGGTGGTGAACTTTGGTTCATTTTGAAGCTCAAAGCTTCTACTTTCTGATACTGACATCGAATTTTTTGAAAATAGATTTTTATTTGATGGTGAAGTTAGAAAGCAAAGGTACCATTTTCAGCGAATATTCTGTAAATTCAACTACCTCTACCGGGTGTAATAAATTTTTCTCGGGCTGCATTTTATAATGGGAGTAAAGAGGGAAGCTTCTTCTTTATAATAACCTCATAAAAATTGGTACACGATTTTTTGTTCATGAGTTATCATATTTTGAATGCAAAATAGGAGTCCTGACAAAATTAGGATTTTGTAATACAGAATTTCTTGGAAACTTTAGACACATTGACTATGACACTATGTTAGTTTAGGTGCTGAAAGATAAGTATTAAGTTAGTCAATAAATAGTGTCAAATTTTTGCAATAGTTGTGTCCCTCTATTTTTGCAAAGCCAATTCTAGTATATTAATACAGTTCTAAATTCAAAGCAGTGCATTAGTATAATCCCAAATCCAATTCTTAATAAAATTAATATTATTATTAGGAAAAATAATAATCCACTTAATAAAATTTCTTTAGCTTCCAATATTTTATCCAAAAAATACCAACTACATTTTTTACCCAATTCAATAAATTAAATTTCCTTTCCATCGAGTTTAGGAGTAGATAAATTAGGTTAGGTTTGGGTTGGGTTGTATTAGGTCGATAAGTTAAGTATACTGAAGGAGACTAGCAAACAGGTCATTGATATCGTACGTGGTATAAAAGGACTTGCTTTCTAAGACAGGTAATATCAGCAGTATCCTGACTACCAGAGACCCAGCTATTAAACACATTCATTTATTCCACACACCTAACCTAAAATCAAATATCCTTACACATAAATTTACCAGAATCTCGACTTAGAAAAATAATTGTATTACTCGACTAATTCACATCCTTTTTCTTTTTCATAAAAAGAAAAGATTCGAAAATATCCGTGACACATCCTTCAGCTGCATAATTCTTTTTCCAATGGCAGTTTGCAATGGTCGGACAATCGTTTAATTGTCGATTCCAACTCACCGTGTAAAAGTACGGGCTAATGGGTATTTCTACTCCAGCGTGGCAAAGCAAGCGTATAAATCAAGATGCAAATCATTTCGCGAGGTTGATCATGTATCTTGTACCTTCAACGCAGCGGTACCGAAGAGCTTTGTTGGAAAAAACGGAACCTTTCTCTGTTGCAATCGCTCCCTCGTTCCTTCGATCGCGATTAGCTGCTGTTAGCCGACAACGGGAAACCGTTTCCGTTAAATCTGGCAACGGCAATTCGGTATAACGTTGAAAAGTGGAAAGATGAAGTGAGTAATATGGTCGAAATTCTTTTCCGCCATGTTTGGTGGAGTGCTGCAGTTATAGGTTAAGCGACTAGAACGGGATCTGTACAGTTGGCAGATAAACGAGCTCTTTGTGGTGACTGGTCTTGGAATATGTAGCTTGAGTACCACGTGAATTATTGAATTTCTCTGATTGTGGTTTTTAGCTGGGGAGAAGAAGAATTATGTTATACAAATGGAAAAGTTGCATATGACATAAGAGAATTTTTTAGAGACGAAATTATTAATATTATTGGGTAATTAGATAATAATCTGTGGATTATTAGTTATTCGTGTAGTGTACGATGTTTAGAGAGAGATTAATTAATTGAAAATAAGGAAATTTATTATTTATTGGATATTATTTATTACCTGTTATTTATCATTTAATATTTGTTACTTATTATTAGAAATTTATCATTTATATTTATTATTTATTATTATTATTACGTATTTATCATTTATTATTTGCCATTTATTATTTATTACGTATCATTTATCATTTAATATTTATTATTCATTATTTGTAATTCATCTCTTATATTTATTACTTATTATAATTATTACATATTTATCATTTATCATTTACCATTTATTATTTATATGGAAGGCGAATAAAATTTTCATCGGTGTCATCGTTACAACACGTTATCGTGTTTCTGCAAACGAAGAAACTCGGCTTTGCATGAAAATCGATATTCAGTATCGAATTTGGTTCCTGGATCGCACAACCGGTGAAAGCTCGGCCGATATATTATTACCCAGCTAATATTCCTGATCCTTTTTGTATTAATTAACAGTTACAACCGCGTAAATCACTGGCAACGTAACCAGTCTGGAAAATATCTTTTCAGCGTATAATTCACCTGCGATAAAATCGGATGTCTCGCACGAAACGTATGTTCGTGACCACCTAACTGCATCACGACCGATCACGACTGATCTCGATCGATCTCGAGAAATATAGACGTACCTTTCCAAGAATTTTTTGAAAATTTCGAAATTTTTGAATTCATTGTAAATTAATCGATCGATCCTAATTTCCTCCTCTGCAGTTACTTAATGCTTTCGATTACTATGATGATCAATAAGGTAAATTAAATCCTACAAAGAGTATAAAATTTCGTGAGATCGTTTGTGTTGATTGAGTAGTATTGAGTAGTGAGTATTGAGTAATGATGAGTATTATTGAGTAATCGAGTAGTGATGAGTAGTATTGAGTATTGAGTAATTGAGTAGTGATGAGTAGTATTGAATATTGAGTAATTGAGTAGCGATGAGTAGTATTGAGTATTGAGTAACTGAGTAGTTAATTGAATAGTATAGTGCTCGGTAAATAAAGTAAATTCCTCATTATGACAGACGAATAAATTTTCCTAATTCTCTAATTCTAATTCCTCTTTTCCACGATCATTTAAAGCTTTTAATTGCTATAATGATCATCGAATTAAATCAAATCGAAAGAGTAAAAAATTTCGCGAGATCGTCTATATTAATTGGATAGCATAGTGTTCGATAAACGTTGTAAATTCTTCATCATGACACGCGAAAGGTCTGACTGGATCCTAACTTCGTTTAATTAGAGGACGTAGATGGGCGTGTACACTGTCGAAACCTCTCCCACTATGGAACTAGGGAAAAATGCAAGTTACTAGACCCGCATTAGGAAGGCTTGTAATTATAGTTCACTTAACGCGATGATTTACGATTCTACGGGTAAAGTGATTTTCAACAGTACAGTTTACAAAGTTCCTGGAGAATTATTTATATTTACATATGTACATACTTTTTTACTCTACATAAATATTGTAATAACCTTCATATGTCCTTTACACGTCCATCTACAAAAAAACTAGCACCATCAGAATATGTCTCTCTCAAAATCATTCAAATTCATCAGAAAGATTTTTTGCCATGCGTAATAATAATGACGTATATCTAGATAGTAATATGTAGTTACTAGTATGTATATACTAGTAATATGTAGTACTATGGAGTTACTAGTATGTATATGTAGTAATATGTAGTTAGTAGTATAGTAATATGTGACCCACCCTGTATTATATATTAATTTATTTATAATAATAATTAATAATAATAATTTATTTATTTATTTCTTCAAACGAGATAATGCAGGGGTAACATACATTACAAAAATTAACCTAAAATTTAGATTTTTGAAATTTATAATACGTATAACGAGAGTAATAATAATTACAAAGATATTTGCAGATAAAATAATTTAAATATTGGGATATTGAATAATATTCTTGCATTAATATATTAGTATATTATATATGTATATTGGTATTAATATATTATCGTAATAATTGATGTGGCAATATTAAATATGCGTTAACCCTAATCGTAGCAACATTTTTTCTCTATTTATTTTTTATCGTAGAAACGTTCAATTGGCGGTTCAATTATTACGGTTTCGCTGTTTTCGAATTTCATTAGATTGTTAACGAATATAAATACTAATTAAATTGCATCGACCGTAGGAAAGCAGAAAGGAACATGTTGCGAATTCCTTTTAAGCAATTTAGACCAACTGCTTCTAAATTTGGTACATTTGGTTCGCGTCATTAGAGGAACATGCCGTGCTCGTTAAAAGCCGAAAAATAATATTAAAAAATAGATCTGTGCGGTGTTCCACTTTCTCTGTTTCTCCGAAACGGGATCGCATGATTTCAGACTGTCGTTGATCTCGCATTGTTTAACACTCGATCGTACAGTCGATCGTACCTTACGTTTGAAGTATGAACGTGATTTACGATGTTAGGGTACCTGATTAAAACACGTGATCTAGTTATGGATCAGTTTATTTTAGCTTTTAACTCATTTTATTTTGATGACAAATCGATTGATTTTTAATTGCTTGGCTGTACTCTCTTATCTTTAAATACTATAGGCTCTGAGCTACTAACATCTGACCTTTATCTCCTGTCTATATGGTTTACTTCTTGTTTGCTTCCAGTCTACTTCCTTTTTATATCCTGTTTGCAATCTTCGGTTCTCGCTTATATATTTCTTATCTTTTGCCTATATTCTCTAGTTCTTGTTTATAGCGTCTATCTCTTGTCAGCATCCTCTAGTTCTTCATTACATTTTTCATCTCTTCTCTGCATCCTTTATTTCTTGTTTATATCGTCTGTCTTCCGTCTACAGTTTCTAGTTTTTGTCCATGTCATTCACCTCCTATCTAGAATCTTTAGTTATTGCTCATGTCATTTACTTCTTCTCTGCTTCCTCTATTTCTTGTTTATATCGAATAATCTTCATTCTACAATTTCTAGTTTTCATTCATGTCATTCACCTTCTGTCTAGAAGTTGTAGTTGTTCTTTATGTCATTTATCTATTT